ATTTAATGACACAGAGGATAACCGCTGGTCTATTTCTGCTGCAGACATATAAACCCTTAAACTAAAATAAATTTTCTGTTATGGTTCTGTATTTCCAAAGAATTGACTTGCATTTTAGCTCAAGGGTTTAGTTTATGATAATTTCTTACAATAGCTTTCAGTTGTTTTAAGTAAGGTTTCCTTGTTTTAAGTTATTTAATACTTTGTTTTAACAAAGTCCTGTTTAGAAGCTGGAATCATATTGTGAAGAAAATTGTATCCATTTTTTGTTCTGTTATACCCAGCTGAGAAGCAATTCAATTATCCATCCATCCATCCACCCATCCACCTTCTTCCACTTATCCGGGGTCGGGTCACGGGGGTAGCAACTTCAGTAGGGAGGCCCAGGCGTCCCTCTCCCCAGCCACTTGGGCCAGCTCCTCCGGGGGAATCCAAAGGAGCTCCCAGGCCAGCTGAGAAACATTGTCCCTCCAGCGAGTCCTGGGTCTCCCCCTGGGCCTCCTCCCGGTGGGACGTGCCTGGAACAGCTCACCAGGGAGACGTCCAGGAGGCATCCTAATCCTCACCTTATCTCTAAGGGAGAGCCTGGACACACTACGGAGAAAACTCATTTCAACCGCTTGTATCCGGCATCTCGTTCTTTCAGTCATGACCCAAAGCTCATGACCATAGATGAGGGTAGGAACGTAAATCGACCGGTAAATCGAGAGCTTTGCTTTTTGGCTCACCTCTCTTTTCACCACAACAGACTGGTGCAGGGCACGCTTCACAGCAGACGCCGCACCAATCCGCCTGTCGATCTCCCGCTCCATCTTCCCCTCATTTGTGAACAAGACCCCAAGATACTTAAACTCCTCCACTAGGGGCAGCACATTCTCTCCAACCCGGAGAAGGCACTCTACCCTTTTCCATGGTCTCGGATGTGGAGGCACTGATCTTTATCCCAGCCGCTTCACACTCGGCTGCAAACCGCTCCAGTGAGAGCTGTAGGGTTCGGCAGCATTTAAATATGAACCATTCAGATTCCTCCTTTCAGATCCAGTTCCTATCAAATCTAATTCTTTTCTGTCTGAACTTCTCAATTAATTTTAATTCCTTGAGTATTCAACCTTTGATAAATCTTGACAGAAATGATCAAACAAATAGAGTCCATGCCTCCATCCATCAGTGAGATCTAGAAGCTCAATCTTTATATCCAGCCCATTCATTGAAGATACTACAACACATCATTTTGGCAAATTACATCTAGGATGATATATTACCGTCTTTACATTAAGTTGAAAGAAAAAATTATCAGTTAGGGTCTAAAGTTAAAAAGTAAAAATCATTAGTCCTGGTATCAGCATGAATATTCTAAGGTATGTTGTAACAAAAACAATAGTTTTGTTTTTTTCTTTCATTTCTTATAAAAGCACTGTAAAAAAAAAATGTTTTTTTTTAACATATTAGTTTCTGGTTATTACACTGACCTTGATTTTTGCTATTTAAATATATGTTGTTTTTAAATGTTACCGAAGGATTTTGTTCTGTCGCCCAATGACACTTAGCTTGAAATGTAGATCTTCAAAGGGTTAATCCTTTTATTCTATAACGCCTTTTGACTTTTCATCATTAAAACAAACTATTTAATCATATTCTCTTATATTTAGGTATTGTACAAACGTTACAGCTAAAAGCTTAAAAATGTGTCTGATTGTTTTAACACTTGTTAGTTTTATTATTAGGGATGTGTATTATCTGTTAGCCAGATTAGATGGGGTGGACGGCCTTCCTTCACATGCTGTATCACCATCTAATGGGGACAGTATTTTTGTCTGTACAACAAGCACAGGATAATGATGCATCCTGGAGCTAGGCTGATAAAGAAGATCTTTTTGTAATCCTGAGGCATAGAGGCACAAAGGTCAGGGCATGGATGGCGTGTCAGTTCCTGACAGGAACAGCTAAGCATCCACTTGATGCAACACATGGACTCGTGAGGTATAAGAAGCAGATGACCTTTTTTGGGACTCATTTTCTGGATGCCATCGCTTGCTGAGCCCTCAGCGGTGCCGAATCCAAGCAATTTCTCTGTCCTGTAACGATCTGAACTGGAATAAACTCTGTTCATTTTTACTCCTTTTTTAAGTCATTTTTATATAGTTTTACCAAGCTTTGAGTTGAGAGGAATTAAACAAAGTAGCTTGCTCCCAGGAGGGAATTTCCGACATGTAATCGCCTTCAGGGGGACATAACTTCCTTTTTAACACACCATAACTTTAATTTGAATTTTGTTCTTCAGGATAAAACACATCATATATAATAAGAGTTAACTGCGGAAGCATTGAAGCATCCATCTTGTTTTGTTGTTTTTGGTTAATTATCCGCTTTGTAATTATCTGTATAAAGTATGTGCTTTTTAATGTAGTTCTGTGTGTTAACAGGCAGGGGGCAGCAGCGGCCTGCTGATGGACCTAGCAGCCAATGAGAAAGCTGTTCACTCAGATTTCTTTAATGGTAAGAAACAGACTTTTCCTCTTCTGACCATAATGACTCTTTACTTACTGTTCAGAGACTCGCATAAGTTTATTTATTCTCTGGCTCCTCTTTCAACATGACAGAGGTCCTTTAAAGACATCTGGAGACTCTTTTTTTGTCCTTTAACTCAAACTTGATAGATAGGAGTATATTTGCTCAGATTAATCAAGTTTTTAATTTTATTTTTCATAATATAGTAATAATAATAATGAAAAGAAACTTTACACATCAAGTATTCTCAGTTGATGAGACTTGCTTCATAAATGATTTGTGGCCATCAAAATGCTTCATTGTTATTCTATGGGTCAAATGGCCTCACAGCTCTGGAATGGCTACACCTAGAGGTCTGAAATGTTCTGCAGTTGTGGTTGACATGATGTAGAACAAATCTAATGTAATGAGACCTGCATGTTTTCAAGCCTGTTCTCTATTACTGCTGTTTAGAAAAACAATTATTATTTTTGAGAAGAAAAAACCCAACTTTGAGTCATGTTTGAACTAATGCAGTTTAGGCTGCGTTTTAGTCACACTATTTTATATTTATAGCCTGATCAGCCAGTCTAAATGAGAGATTAAATGTGTCATTTAATCTGGACCCGATGAATAAGACATCAGAACATTCTTTATGGGAAAAACCTGTTGTCTTTCAAACCACTGTCTGTGCCTATTGGCCAATGAGCGTAACTGACTGTGACGTAGTAATCATGACAGAAAGCTGGTAGGGGAGTGTAAACGAACAGCCTGTCGGTAAAACAGCGAATACGTCCTTCTTAAAGAAGCGTAGAGCCTCTTCCTGCTCACGTTTTAACGAAAACCCCAAATCTAATCCATCCTAAACTGATTCCAAAGCTGAGTCAAACGCGAACCGTTCAATAGTTGTTCCCATCTTCCTTGTTTTGCTTTCTCCAGCATCGCGCAGCTCTGTCGTCCCATTCTCAAAACCCTGCCCGCTTTGCATCCAAACATTCAAAACACATCTCTGAGTTGTGATTGGCCATCCAGTTCTAGGGCCTGGGGCATTGATCGAGGCCAGAGCACTCGCAGGCAAAAAAGATTTAGGCCACTGGCTGGTGGAGCTAGTTTACTAGGCTATTATATTTATATTTTCAGAAGGTGCTAGCTTTTAAATAATGTAGCACAAATGTAATTTGGGCTTACAGTTCCTCAGTTATTTGCTTTTCCATTTGGGTATGCAAAATAAGCGAGGATTACGCAAAATTAGGTGAATTTTAAGAGGTTAAAGACTCTTTTTTTTTTTTTTTTTGTCTTTTAACTCAAATGTGACTAATATGAATATATTTGCTCAGATTAATCAGGTTTTAATTAGCCTCTTTTGATTTTATTTGTTCATAATAAAATATTAATAATAATGAATAGAAACTTTACACATTAAATATTCTTAGTTGATGAGATGATTTAGGCGTTAACACAACCTCAAAAGCTTGAAAAGTTTTATGCCTTTAAATAAACAGCTTCATTTGATTAAAAAAAAGTCAACTTTTTTGAGCTATGCCTCCAAGTTAGAGGAATGCTAGACTCTAGGAAAACGGGAGATCTAGTGTAGGTTTGTAATCTAGTTTATCCCCTGAACCATATTGTCTCACATTAACCTTTAAAAAGATCCTGTTGCTCCCCTTCGGAACAGCAGCTAATGTGCGGGTGGAGCGCAGAGAGTACAGAGCTAATCTGTTTTCTGTCTTGCAGCGCTGGCTCCCAGCTGAACCATTTTGGCTCAGCAGCACATGACCTAGAAAGAAAAGGAGCTGATTGTTAAAAAGACGATGCAGTTGCATGGTAAAGTGAGTTTATAGGCGCTTTCAGACTGAGACTCAGCGGGACGCCTCGCCATCGTCAGTCAGCTGCTTTAAAATGCCTGCACACACTGGATGTCTCAGAAACTCCTGAAAGGGTTTCTGATGTTTTACTCCACCTGGTTCTTCACTGAGCAGCAGTTCAAAATCCCTCAGCTTAAGGCAGGCGGCCTTTGAAGTCTTGAAAGGTCACAAAAAGAAGTGGATTAGGTTATCATTTATTTCCAATTCTGGACAAATGTGCAAATTCTTTTGTGGAAAATTGAGAGAAACTTGATCTTTTTTCTGCAGCCTCTGAACTCCTTCATTTTTTTCCCACGTTACAGCCTCCAACTTAGTGTGTTTCATTTGGGCTATGTGGCACTCCAACACCAAATGGTGCATAATAGCGAAGTACAAGTATGTGATGCAGGGCTCTCAAACTTTTGTACAGCTACATTTCTGCTAGTGAGGCTTCCACATACAGAGACTTAACATATTTGCCCATTCATATGGAAAAAAAGCATAAAAAACCCTACAACAGCTCAAGCTCAGTGAAATCTCCTAAAATTCAGGACTGGATTTTGGCCACTTGAACACATGACTAGTCCTTGATCTAAACCAATCATCCTCCCTCTGCTGTTGATTTAGTTTGGTGTTCCTGATGGAAGGCGAACAGCTGCCTCCTTCCCAGTGCTTTGCAGTCATTTTTTTTTCAGAATTTCCCTTCAATCTATATACAGTAATTTCTGCCGGGGAAAAAAGTATCTCCTATCTGACTGGAGTACCTTCTCAGGGTGATCAGGATTTTTTAAGAGCTTACACCTGCCTTGTTGAGCCGAGCCCATGACAGTCCTAACGGCGCAGAGCTCACATTTTCACTGCGCTTTCCTCGTGTGTGCAAACAAGGAGGTAAATGTGTTTAAAAAACCAGTTTCCACAGTGGTTGTACTCATTAAAAGTCAGAGTATCAGCATATTTCCATTGTAATTGTAAGTTTCAGCCTAAAAAGCATCTGTGCTGAAATGCACTGGGGGGGGGAGCCCAGATGTCAGTTTAAGAGCTGTTAGACTTATAAAAAATGATCGTATCGGCTTGATTTCCACGCTGGTGAGAACCCTGCTTCTAACACGTATTTACTGCATGGTTTAAAGCAAACCGCTGTTATGGCTTCACTCCAATCTGCCTCACTTTCCTGTAAAGATTGGATCTGTTGACAGAAAGCTCAGAAAGATAAAGGGAACACTCGAATAACACACCCTAGATCTGAATGAAGGAAATATTATTGCTGAATAACTTGTTCTGCAAAAACTCTGTGCTGACAACAAAATCACAGGAAAATCATCAATTGGAAATCAAATTTATTAACCAATTGAGGGCTGGATTTGGAGTCACAGACAAAATAAAAATGGAAAAACGCCACAGACTGATCTAACTTTAATGTAATGTCGTTAGCACAGGACAAAATGAGGCTCAGGTTTGTCTGTGGCCTCTGCGTACCTGTATGACCTCCCTGCAATACCTCAGCATGCTCCTGATTTGGTGAAGGGTGGTCTTCTAAGGTATTTCCTCCCAGACCTGGACAGTTTGTGGTGCAACATAAACTGTTGCACCACAGACATAAATCTTTATTTAGGCTGTTGGCCACAGTTGTTCAGCTCAGATTGTGACACGTTACCCACCACAGTAACTGTAATAATATCACTGCCAAATGTAATTTATTAGGGTAACGCGTTACTGACAACTCTACTTGTTTGTTCCTAACAGACCTCTGAAGTTTTCACACAGCAGCCGGATTGATAATGAAGTAACACATAGATTGTTAGTGGAACTACTTAATAAAAATTTAGAGGATTTGTGGGACTTCATTATATTTAGAGACATTATATTTTATAGTATTTAGATCATAAAACCCCAAACAACATCTTTAAAATTAATTAAATGTCCACAAGACTACAAAAATAAATTTCCATTCAGGTAAGACATGTTTTTATTGTTAGGGTACCAGATGCTTCACCTTTTCACTGGAGCTTAGCTAATGTTTGGTGCCCTACCTGAAAATGAGAGGTGCAGCAAAACAGGTCTGCCTGACTCCTCTGATGAACACCTGCATCCTCTGATTAGCTGTTTCTCCAACGGTTTAGTTTTTAGATTAATTAAAAGCAGCAGTGGAGTGAAAATTTATTGCAGCTGTTGCAGAAAAGGCCTTCGTTAAGTCCTGCTAGTGGAATCCACTGTTTGCGATATTAATACATTTATCCTTTAAATCAGAGGTGCTCCTACTGGAGCAGAAGTTACCCTTTTTCTGATGAGCTAAAAGCCGACTGGTTCAGATATCTCTTGAATATTTTGTACTCCTCGCTGATCAGGCTGCAGCTGAATGGCTAGATGACATTCAGCTTTAGAGTTCGGCTCTGTGTCGTTTGCAGCGTAGTGGTGATAACGCCAGAACCTCATCTTTATTGGATGATGCTTTGACCTTTACCACTAATACAATATAAGGTCAACTCAGCTCTGTAAAAGGAACAAAAATCTATTTTTAAGTCACTGTTTTATTTTTTAATCACCTAAAAATGCAAGTAGGCGTGTGGGTTTACATATCGCCCAAATTACAATGAAACTGGGATTATTTGTACCCCCGGAAGATAAAGAGTTTAAATCTTTTTTTAATTTAAACATGGACTTTACAATAACATTTATTCATATTTATGTTGTTGGGGAAGATCAATGCTAAAAATGGTGCACAGCCCACTGAATGAGTGGAGTTATCTGTATGGGGATTATAGCAGACCTTATATTTCCTGAGCAACGTTTTCTTTGGGATGAGCTCCACAGCTTTATGGTTGGAAGGCCTCCCTGCCATGACCCTCATCTTTAGCTCCTTTTACACATTCCCCATCAGCTACAGCAGCTCAGCACTAGAGCTGCTCCAGAACCCTGATTTCACTTCCAGTCAGTAGAAAAATGTTTGAAAACATGACAGGATTATTCTAAACTAAAATCTGTCCGTAGTGTGAGGGATTCTGTGCTGAACAGATTCTAACTAAATGTGTGTTCACAGTCCAGAAGAGAGTCTACTTCCTGTAGAGTACAACTTTCCTCTGGGGTTGCTGGTCATCTAATCTACCGTATTTTCACGACTATAAGGCGCACCTAAACGTCTTTTTTT